CTAAATCCAGTCCCTTAGAATCCCACTCTGGCAGAAGGGCTGCAGAAGGTCCAGGTCCGAGGCTGTGTCCAGCACCTTCTCAGAGCAGGGAGACTCTGGGGAGTAGCTGTTGGGCAGAATCAATGTTTTTCTAGTGGTTTCTCTCATTCAGAACAACTCCATCTGCTGGGCCTGCACAGCCAGGCCCCCATGCACCCGTGCACCCTCAGGGGATGTGCCACCCTCCTCTGTGGGGTGCCAGGCATCACAGCACAGCAGAAACCGAGGCTCAGAGGTTTGTCCATTTGCCAAGGCCCAGAGCCCAGGCTCCTCTCAGGGCAGTGGAGGGCCCCAGCCCAGCCCAGCTCTTCTGAGCAAGGGAGTATTTTCTGCAGGGAGKGCTTTTCTTCTGAGGTGGTATTATGTGGCCTTCAGAGATGCCCACTGCTGCCATCTTTGACCTGCTCCACACATTTCAAAATCTCATCATTTCTGGGTTAATAGCACCAGCAAAGACAAAGGCCACATGTCTCAGAAGAGTCCTTCTTGGTAAGACCCAGTTCTAAAATGGGTCCAGAACTTGGGCAATGAACCAAGAGGCAGAACTTCCCTGGCCATTTATATCCATGATGGTCAGARTAAGCAGGTCTCCAGGGCAGCTCTTAACTAGTGTGGAAATCCTGCTTCTACCAGAAGAAGATGTAACCAAAAGGCAATGTAAAACAAAGTGCAAGCAAGTTTGGGGATGATTAATGGAAAAGTCACGGGAGCAGTGTAACAGGGAACCTGAACCCAGAGGTTGAAGTGTCCTGGATAGTTAGCGTTTAATGAGACTCAGGCAAGTGTCGCCAGAGCTCCCCTGAGGTGGGCAGGGGTACACTGTGATGAAATGAGACCCCACTCCCTCCCTGGGCCCTGAAGGAGAGGGGGAAGCGCAGCCTGGGCTGTCAGAGATGCTCCTGATTTCAAAGGTTCTGACCTACTTTGCACACATATCAGTGTTGTTAGATCACATGCTCTGGCTCTTAGAAAATAACTCCATTGTGCTGTAGGACACTGTGTCCTAGGAACACACAAAAAAAGCACCTTGGCCAAGAGTCTAGGAAAACAAAGATTATGTGAAGACATGGAGCGTCTCTCACAAAGCCCCAGGCGGCTGAAGGGACTCCTGGGGTCAAGTGATATAAGAGTCCTCAGCCTGGAGGGGTCAGTAGGTGAAAACAATAGAAGCAAGTGTTTGTCCAGCAGGCCGCATGTGCCTGAGACTAAACCAGGGCTGACTCCCCCAGATCCCCTCTGGGACGGCAGGGGAAGTGGCTTGGAGCCACACAGCCGCCAGGCACGGGGCTGGACCTGGAGCTCAGGGCTGTGGATCATGTCGTCTAGAAATAGAGCTGGGACCAGACAACAGAGAGCCCCAGCCCCAGCCCTTCAAACTGGATAGAAGAGGCCTGGGTGAGCCTGTGTGGCCAAGAGAAGTCCTGAGACTGGCACTAACATGACCCCAGGTAACCCAAGGTGGGAGGAAGATGGCTGTGTTCCAGAGCTGGCCTTTTCTTCAGATAAATTGTCTCTGTTAATGACATGCAATGAAATCCACCATCAACTACAGGTCCAGTGGTTTCTTCTTTAAGCTCAGCGAATGTTGACAAGTGTATATGTACTCATGCAAGTCAAGGCCCAGGACAGCTGTGTCACCCAAACCTTCCTCCAGCCCCTTTGCAGCCATTCCTGTTTTCTGTCCCTGTCCTGTGCCCTCTCTTCCACACAGTATTCAGTCTTGGGTGTCTGGTGTCTCTCATTCGGCATGTGCCCTGAAATTTATCCAGGGTCTTGTATCTCTGCGCCTTGATTGGTTCACGCGGTCTCCAGGTGATGGGCCTCTGGATTGGTTCCAGTTATTGGCTGCTATGAACAAAAGAGCTGTGGACACAATACCTTTATTTTATTTATTTATATGTGGTGCTGAGGGTCAAATCCAGTGCCTCACACATGCTAGGCGAGCGTCTTACTTACTGCTGAGCTACAACCCCAGCCCAATCTTGGATRTTTTCATTCCCCAAAGTGAGCTTGCAAATATATGTTTAACTCTATAAAATCTGTCGAACTATTTTCCAAAGTTGTTTCAAATGTCTGAGAGTTTCAGTTATATTGCATCCTTGCCAACACTTGATGCTAGTATTTTTCAGTTTTAGCCATACTAATACATATGTAATAGCAGCATTGTGATTTTTTTTTTTTTTTTGCTTTTCCTTAATGACTACTAGTTGTGTCTTTTCATTGCTTACTTGAGATTCATTCATCTTTGGTAAAACATCTGTTCATGCCATCTTTTGCCTGTTATTACTGAGGTTATTTTCTTCTTCTTGAGTCATGGGAGTTCTTTTTGCATTCTGGATAGAAGTCCTTTACCAGATATAAGTTTTGCAGATACTTTCTTCTAGTCTGCATTTGCCTTTTTATTTACTTGTCTTCAGAAGTTTTAAAATTTCATGCTATCAAACTTACTGTTTTTAAAATGKTTTTTTGTGTTCTAGCAAAAGATATTCTTTCTAAAAGTTTTAGCTGTTACGTTTGGATACATTCTAAGTTTAGCAACACAGAGTGAAGATGAGGGGTTTTTTGCACATGGACATGGACCATTTGTTTAAAGACTGTCCACACCCCATGAATTCCCTCAGCACCTCTACTGAAAGCAGTTGACCATACAAGGGTGGATCCACTTGTGCACTCTCTTCCATTGATTTTTTTAATTATTTTTTTAAAATGCCACAATTTACATTCCACAGAATTTGCCATCCTCAAGTGTACAAGTGGGTGGTTTTAGTACATTCACATCCTACCCACTAAAGAACATTGCACTGATCTCCATGTCTATCTTTTGTCTAATTCCTTGCTGTCTGTATTGTAGCTTTGAGGTTTTCAACTACAAACTTTGTTCACCTTTTTCAATATTGTTTTGAGTGTTCTAGATCCTTTGACCTTTTATGAAATTTTAGATTCAGCTTAYCAATCTACAAAAAAACACCTTGAAATTTTCATTAAAATTAGGTTGAATTTATAGCCCAACTTAGGGAGAGTAARCATTTTTAATTACATCCATTCTCCATCAAAACACAGTATATCTCCATTCTACTTAGATATTGAATTTCAACAGTTTTTGAATTTCTAGTGCTTGAGTCTTGCACACATTTTGTTAAATTTGACCTTTAGAATCTTGATTTTTTTTTTTTGGTGCTATTGTAAATAGTACTAGAGTTTTTAAATTTTCAAGTTCCATTTTTTCTCTACCAGTATATAAAAATACAGTTGATTGCATTTATTAATTAATCCATTTATTCATTTCTGTGGTACTGCAGATTGAACCCAGGGGCACTCTACCACAGAGCTACATTCCCAGCCCTTTTTATTTATCTATTTTTATTTTGGGATAGAGTCTAAGTTGCATTTATAGCCCAACTTAGGGAGAGTAARCATTTTAACTACATCCATTCTCCATCAAAACATATCAAAACACACTGGCCTTGAACTTGTGATCTTCCTGCCTTGGCCTCCTGAGTCTCTGGGATTGCAKGTATGCACCATCATGCCTGGCTGATTTTTATATATTGACCTTGTATCTTAAATTCTTGCTAAACTCTTTAGTTCTAATCACTTTTTTGTGTATTGCTTAGTATTTTCTATACAGAAAGTCATGTCAATGGGAAAAGTAAAAGGATAGTTAGATAGTTCCTGCTGAATGGAACTGGGAAGAGCGGACGTCTTCACCTTCCTCCAGTACCGGGGGCCCTGTTTGGTCACTCACCGTGAGGAAGGCTACAGGCTGTCAGTGATTCCTAGCTGCCTCTTACCAGGTTGAGAAAGTCATCTTCTATTCCCAGTTTACTGAGAATTTTTGTCCCGGATTTGTATATATATATATATATAGAGAGAGAGAGAGAGAGAGAGAGAGAGAGAGAGAGAACTCTCTCTCTCTCTCTCTCTCTCTCTCTCTCTCTTTTTTTGTCGATGCACACCACACAATGCCTTTATTTTTATGTGGTGCTGAGAATTGAACCGGGGTCCCGCCCGTGTTAGGCGAGTGCTCTACCGCTGAGCCACAATCCCAGCCCGGGTTTTTCTATTTTAATGTGCTCCTCTGGTGAGTCATTAATTTTTAAATATTAAACTATCTTACATTGCTAGGGTGAAACATTTCTTGGTAACGATGTATAACACCTTTTATATTTTTTTAATATTTTATTTTTTAGTTGTAGTTGGACATAATACCTTTATTTTATTTATTATTATGTAGTGTTGAGGATCGAACCCAGGGTCTTGCATTTTGCTAGGTGAGTGCTCTACCACTGAGCCACATGCCYAGCCCCAACTTTGCTAATATTTGTAGAAGACTTCTGCATTTATGTTTATGATAGTAGCCTGTAGTTCTCATTCATTTGTACCAATTTATTTATTTGGTTTTGGAACCATAAGTGGAATTAAGTGCTTACTTCTTCAGCACTTATAGCAAGCCAGGTGTTGTGATGCACACCTGTAATCCAGCAGTTTTGGAACTGAGGCATGAGGGTGTAAGGATGGCCTTAACTTAAGAAGGGCCTTAGCCTAAGTAACTCCATTTTGAAATAAAACTGCACTCCCTACCAGGTACACCTACGGAGCCCTCCAATATGGTCATCAGGCACAGCCTGATAAAATAAGTCACTTTCCACAACCCTGATAAAACTCAGAGTGAAGTTTCTGTCATTTGCCTTCACCCTGATAAAGGCAAAAGGCAAAAGTTCAGGGCAGAGACCACCAGACTAGATGACCTCAGAATGAAAGATGTCACTGAGAAACCTGGTAACCGCTGATAAGGATTGAAAGGGTGGTCAGAAGCCCCAAAATTAGCATAAATGATGGAGCAAATGAGCAGACATTCAGCCAGCCAACACTGATGCACAAAGGCCTGAGCCTGATGAGGATCTGGACTGACATCCTAACTGTTCTCATCCATCTGTCCTCACCACCCTCAAACTCCACAGCAGCCTCTTGACTCTGGTGAGAAAAGGACTTCTCCTTATGACCATCTCCTCAGCCAGCCATCAACTCAACTCCACCCCAGGAGAAGCCTCTATCGGTTCCTGACCTGGTTGCTGTGGTCTGAGTGAGTGTGCATCTGCTGGACTTAAGACTTTAAATCTAGCATTTAAGCTTGGCGTGCAGAGGGAATGTCTGCAATAGGTCTGTCTTGATTGAGTATATTTGCAGTGCTTAGAATTAATTAGAATTTTTTGCTTTGAATTGATTATGTCTGTTGCAATGCCCAGCATTAAGGATTATCATTCTTTGATTAAGAACCTATAGAGTGATATTGTATGATATGATTTGAGTAAATAAAACATTGAAAAGGGAAGAAGCACACGGACATTCTTTATCTCTCCCCTCGACTGTAGATGTCAAACTTTTGCCATTGTGACAGAGGGTCACAAGTTCAAGGTTAGCCTGGGCACCTAAGCAAGACCCTGTCTCAAATTTWAAAAAATTAAAAGGATTAGGGTTATAGCTCAGTGGTAGAGTGCCCTGGGTTTAATCCGTAGTATCTCTCTCTCTCTCTCTCTCTCTCTCTCTCACACACACACACACACACACACACACACACACACGGAATTATGAGTGTGGCTTCCTCTTCTAGTTTTGGGAATTTTGTGTAATGCTGGTTTTATTTCCTCCTAAGTTTCTAAGCATGGGTAGGATTGACCTCTGAAGCCATCTGCCTCTATGCACAGGTTCTAAACCAAGTGAAGGCGTATGAATAGGTAGAGGGCTGTTCAGGTCGTCGCGTCTTCTGGAATAAGCTTTGGTCCTTTGTGTCTGCCTTTAGAAAACTTTTCTGTTTCATCTATATTGTAGAATTTCTTGGTGTGAAGTTATTCATTATATTCCTCAATTGTAATGTACATATAGGGATGTCCCTCCTTGGTGAGGGCGATGAGGTGGAATCCACAAACGACTCAGCGTCCACCTGGCTCTCTCTAGTCTTCAAGAAAGACCTGGGTTGGGCTGCATTCATACCTGGCTTTGTACATGGAGGAGAAGGGTCCCCTGCAGCCAGTTGAGTTGCGAGCTGGGGTCAGGGCTCTCGCAGAGCCCACAGAATTGGTGAGAGGGCACCTCAGGAGCTTCCTGGTCAGACAGCCCCTCTTCTCCCCCTTGGGTACTGACAGCTGGGGAGGAGGGCTTGCCTCTGTGAAGGGGCCCACTTCCTGGAAAGTGACCTTTATTTCAAATKCGGGAATAGGAAGAAGGGAGAGAAATCCCTGAACTGGAAAATAGGGAGATCATTGTTATATTAAAACAATGCCAGGTTTTCATGAATTTTGGAGGAGAAACGTTGAACTTCTAAGGGATCAGAGTATTCTCTCTATGCGTCCTGCCCCTTCTCTGCTCCCTCCTTTGCCACCTCAGTACCAGGTGCAGGCAGATGCAGAGCTGGATTTCCAGGGAGGAGTAAAGAGCTGAACATTTAAGGCCTTCAACTGGGCCTCTGGTTAACCCCCCAAAAGCACGTGGTTTGTGAGGCATGCCCTCTGGGTAGTCACTTTTCCTCTTTTGGGGGAATTACTGAGATAGAGGTGAAGTCTGTCGGTGCCAGCCAAGGGGTAGGAAGGGGCCAGCAGGTTCCTTGTGGGCTGTGTGGACTGATCCCAAGTGGGACAGAAGAGGTTTGCTTAGCTTGGACAGCTGAGAGGCAGAGGAGAGAGTCCCTTCTTCTTCCTGTTTACCTGTACAATTTTTGTTTGTTAATTGAAAAAGTAGTTTGGGGCTGGGAGTGGTGACATATGCCTTTAATGCTGGCTACTCTGGAGGCTGAGGCAGGAGGATGGCAAGCTCAAGGCCACCTGGGCAACTTACCAAGATCCTGTCTCAAAATAAAAAAAGGGCTGGGGTGGGGCTGTGGCTGTGGCTCCGTGGTAGAGTGCGCACCTAGCATGTGCAAGGCCCTGGGTTCCATCCTCAGCACCACACAAAGATAAACAGATAAAGGTATTGTGTCCCTCTACAACTAAAAAAGGGCTGGGATGTAGTGGTAGACTGCCCCTGGGTTCAATCCGCAGTAACCACACCTGCCCCCCACCAAAAAGAAAGTAGTTTGGGCAGGGAAATGACAGAGCTCCTATAGACAAAAAAAAAAAAAGAGTTAAATGCCTCACATGCCTCCATGCCTGAGTTATGCAATCCAGAAATTCACTGAATAGACGGTTTTCTCTTAAAAAGAAAAAAAAAGGAAAGAAAAACAAAGATCTTGTGCTGTTGTTTTTGAAAAAGATTTATTTGAACAAGTTCATAAACTGAGGGGAGCCGCCATCTGTCCCTATATAACCATGACACAGGAAAGGGGGTTTACCTCTTAACAAGGGATTTTGTGGTCCGGAGTGRACTCCACATTGGCTTTAAGTGCTTTTTCATAGTCCAGTATATACAAAAATGGGGTTTTTATTAATATTTAGGTGGGTCCTGGAACCCACCCCAATACTAGAGAGGCCAGGGGGCTTAAGCTTGAGGAACTGGTGTGCTGGCTCCAGCCTCCATCCCAACCCCTGTCTCCTGTCCCCCCTTTTGTCACTGTTCCCACTTGATAGAGCTCAAGTGGGATCCAGCCAGCATGGTGGCCAGACCTGTAATCACAGCTACTCACAGCTACTTGGGAGGCTGAGGCAGGAGGATGCAAGTTCAAGCCTCAGCAATTTAACAAGACCTCCCTCAAAAGAAAGTTTAAATAGGATGTGGTTCAGTGGTAGAGCACCCTGGGTCCAACTTCCAGTGCCACACACACAAAAAGCTCTACATAGTTGTATATAGGTATGATAGGGTCAGATTCAGTTTGCTGGGTGGGTCCAGTTTGCTCAGCCCCAGTATAGATCAGATTTGGACTCAGAGCTCAGGCTTCTGACAGCGAATAGTACCAGGGGCAATGTGAGGACTCAGGAATGTGAGTAAATGATTCCACTTGATGCATAGTACGTAAAAGCTTGTTCAGTAATGTGCCCTTAATTTCCTCCCTGACTCCCTTCTTGTAAATCAGAGTTTTAATTGAATTTAACTTGGGGTAATTATGCAAGCACAGAAAGGATTTGAATGCTTTGGGGATAGCAATTAGTCCAAGAGCCCATCAGGCTTAATTTTGAGTTCTAGCTTCTATATTTTTAAAGGCTTAATTTTTTAGTGTTTAAAAATAGAGCTTTGTGGGCTGGGGATGTGGCTCAAGTGGTAGCGCGCTCGCCTGGCATGCGTGCGGCCCGGGTTCGATCCTCAGCACCACATACCAACAAACATGTTGTGTCTGCCGAGAACTAAAAAAAAAATAAATATTAAAAATTCAAAAAAAAAATAGAGCTTTGTGTGTGAGAGCCAGCAATTTGCGGGGTATGGGGGGGCTCTCATTTCCTTGGGGGTGTACTACCGTGGGCACTCACCTTTTCCAGGTTTGTGTTTCTCTTTATTTGCTGCCTCCTGCCTGATTCCTTGTAGGTAGTCAATGTCTTTCCAGAGCATTTAAAGCTGGCTTTAATGATATTTTTAGAGAAACATAAATGTGTCATTGCTACCAAAAAAATTGAATCCTGATTTCCAGGCCCATTGAAAATGGAGTTCGGATGACTCCTGACTGGCTGGTTGCTGTTGGCAGAGGCCAGGTGACCACTGTGCAGCTCATTTGTTGGTTTCTTGCGGTCAGTTGGGTTTGCAGTTCCCTTTATCTCCTSATTGCATGTACTAGGCAGTGAGTCAGGTTCTTATCCTTCTAGAATGTTTTGTTAGCAAATCACTTCAAGGAGAAGAGAATGACTTTGTGTAATATTTTATAATTGTTCTTCTGGATTTTTTTAACCTGAATGAGTTTGCTTTCCAAAACTCTCCATTTCTCACCTAAGAAACATATAAAATAAGGACTATGCTAATCTGAGCATAAGAAGTCTCTGAAGAAACCCTTTAAATAGTACTTCAGTACACAGTCAGTCCAGCCAGTCAAGGGACTCGAGGCTCAATAAACATACTTTGAGCAACTGCCAGCAAGTAAGTTGAAAGCTCCGGCAGCCTGGAAAACAGACCAACCATGTGCTGTGTCTCTTAGTAGCCAAGTGTGGAAAATCACTGTTTGATCAACAGCCAGCAGGGCCGGGGCCCTGGATGGCACAGAGGCTCTGACTGTGCGTCCCAGTGTCCAGGGCCACAGACGTCCCATGCACCCCTCGTCCATACCTCTGAGCAACTGACCTTGACTCTGCCACTCTTCTGTGAACCCAGGTAGTAAACACAGAGCAGTCTGTATTGTTTTGTTTATTGCATGTTGGGTTCCAGAAAGTGACTGAGCCTAAGAGGCCACCATCACTATTTGTAGAAGTACTTTGAAAATATTCAGATTCTGTGGAAACCCTAATCTAATATGCTGAGTGTCTGCTTTTGATCAGGGACCGAGGAGTGTGYTGGACTATTGACACTGGTAATAATGACCGAGCCCGAGCGGCCTGCAACCTGCCTGCCTTTCCTGAGCTCCTGTAGCGTTTATTTATAGGTCAGTTTTCTTTGAGCTCTGCTTTGCATTCAACCAAAGTCCCAGATTAGGCATACAGGAGGAGGTACTGACAGATGGCTGCCCCATGGAACCACCTAGAACAGGATCGATTGTCACCATCTCCCGGCCCTGCAATGTGCCGTGCCTCCCAGGGAGTGCCCACTGCCCACTGCCCGCTGAGATGGGTCTTGTGGGTCCTAGATCACACTTCATAGCTAGAGCTATCTGTGCCGTCCCCTCTGAGCACTGAGCCCTCGGTTTCAGGCCCAGCTCCCTGRGTCATATTAGGGGTCTGGGGCACTTTGTTCTCTCTGGGCCTAGCTTTTCTGGCAGGCTATAGATCTGAAGTGGTGCAGAGCCCCTCAGAGTGAGATGCCTGTGGATTTGCACCGGTATCCTGTACTTAAGGGCTTTTGAGTGTCCCTAGGGACAAGACTATCTTGCTGTGTAGCCTGGAGCAGGACCTTGAGCAGGACCTAGAGAGTACAGTGGATCTCTCAGCATAGAGCAGGTGGGGCCCGTGCTGTCACTCCAAGGTGGCTGCCCTGTTGCATTTAATTGCCAAGTTGCAGGTGGCACCAGAATTCCTAAGGGGCACCGTAGGGCATTGGCACCTTCTCTGGCATTGGAGCTGCTGGCCCCAGACCTGTTTTCAGGCGTCTGTGTGGCTGCCAAGTCCCCTGGGAGCAGCAGGGGCCAGCTGCATGACCGCCGGACTGTGCCTGGCCCTGGTGCCCAGCAGGTCATCTGTCCCTCCAGGTGGGAGCAGGGAAGGTCAAGTCTGCATTGGTGGTCAGTGTGTGTTCCGAAGATGGTAACACAATAGTTTTTAATATGATGGGGCCTAAAAGAGTAATTTTATCATAACCAAGAGTAAAATCCCATGGAACGGTTGCCAAAGGCYGTGCTCCTAGGACCCCCTAAAGCACCATTTGTTTCCCTAGATTGTGAGGGTGGCGGGGGCCCAGCCTCTGGGTTGAAGGCGTGGTGTCCACCGGCCTGCAGTGAAGCCGGGGGGTGCTCTGCCAGCCTCATTCCGGGGCACCCAGAGGGGCCGGTGGGGCCCGGCTGCAGCAGGAAGCCCTTGACTTTCTGAGAGAGGCTGGCGAGCGGGAGATGAAAGCATCAAAGCGCCCACAGGATGCGCCGCAGCCCTGCCTGGCACGGCGCCGGGCCGCAGGGAAGGGTGACCTCAGACCCCTGGTGCTCGCAGGCCAGGCCCGAGTTTAAAGTTCACGGCATTTTGTTTTTTCACCTGCTTCCTACAGTTCTGAGAGACTTCTGAAGGATTAATGTGTAACTATATCAGACACCCGGCCTCCTCTCCTGGGAAGCAGTGTGACCACGGGGGAGGGGAAGAGACTGCACTGAGAGGCCACGGGGTTTCTGCGGAAAGTCCTCCCGGGAGAGGACGTGCCACCAGCAGTGCCGCCTGCTGCATTTCCAGCACCCCGTCACCTGCGTGCATACTCCAGGCAGATGCCCAGCACACAGCAGCTGCTGGTCACCTGAGGACTAGGGCAGTGGTTGGCACTGAGTGTTCAGTTGGGACAGGGTGGCCTGAGCTCCGCCCACTGTGCCCTGCATRAACTCTGCGGGATGCAGCTTGGACACAAGATGGCGAATAACAGGAGCTAAGGAGGCGCAAGTGAAAGGACAGGTGAGCTCTGTGCTGGGCAGTTCCCTGGCCAGAGGCTGTGGTGACAGCCCATGGCCCCCAGCCTGCAGTGAGGGGCAGAGCTGCTGGCCACCCCAACCTGTCCCTCTACTGCCTACAGCGGGCACGGTGCCTTGTGAGTGATGGGTTTGTCAGTGGAGAAGAGCTGGAAGGGACAGTGCACGGATTTCCTCCTGCTTCCTTGTGTCTGAATTTGAACACAAACAGAAGGGACACTTTATTGAGGCACCTTTCTTAAGGGTCACTTTGTGAGAAGGCAGTGACTCTTTAAAATCCTTTGGCAAGTCAAGAATAAGGAAGTATCAGCCCTTTTCTCGTGCAGCTCACCTGGTGTGATTTGGGGGTGGACGGGCATGTGAAATAGTGTCCTTTGTAAACTGTCTAATCAACTCCGAAGTCCTGCCTTTTACACTCTTGCCACCAGGTGGCTAGGAGGGAAGTGAAGCAGGCGGATCCACGATCACATGGAGACTGGATCCTCTCCATTTCTGCTTCAGTGATGAAATTTGAAACGATAGATGGCCTGCACTTCCCGAGGGACTGCCRAGCGAGTGACAGTGTGTCCAGCGGTGCCGGCCAGAGGCGCGTTGCCATGAGGGTTTTTTTTGATTTTTGTTTTTTTAAAAATATTGACAATTTAAACCAGCCAGATTTTGCTGAACTCAAACTTTTCGAGGCTCCCTGAGCCCATTCCACCTCCAGACTGACCCCTGGATGGTCGCAGTGTTCCTGGCCAGCTGGGTTTGGGACAGAGGTTCAGCTTTGGGCTCCTCAGTCCCCAGGCAGAGCACACCTCCGCCCTGAGAGTTCACCAGGAGGCGGCTCTCGTGCCCAGGACATTGCGCTGTCCCGCGTGAGACTGCCTTTGATTCTGTTTCAGTGGTAAGAGGTGTAATCCAGGCCTAAGGGGTGGGGACACAGGCTTTCAGACTTCCTCATGGCCACATCTGTTAGAGTAAGGGCAGCAGCATGTGCCACAAACTGTACTTTCTCCCAGTATTTGTTACAGTATCACAAAGAGAAAGGGATCCTATCCCACGACAGGACCTGCCCGCTTCTGGCCTCGGGTGCACTTTGGGTGCTCCTCGGTTCTCCAGTTGATTAGCCATGACAAGCCACCTCTTGGCTATACACCATTTTGTCCACAATTTGCTTTTCTGATTCAAAGCGAACATGAGTGCCTTAATCCTCTAATGGGAATTAATTGCTTGTTTCGGTGCTTAACTCTGATCCTTTCTCCATCCCACAGGGACAGGTTGCTTCCTGAGGATCTCTGTGTGTTCAAAACATAATCAAAAAAGGTAAGGATGTTTTTCTTAGGAGAAGAGCCGGAAATGCAGAACGATTTTTGTTGCAGGAGGCAGCCATGTTTTCAAACTAACGTTACATTATAAAGGACACACTTACAGATGTRTTTCCTAGAAAAGAAGGTTAACTTGTGTTGCCTGGTTTCTTGTTYGGGAATAAGCTATCATTTGCTGCAGAAGAAGGTCACGTTCTGGGGCTCCTCACGATCCTCCTGCRTGGTGTCCTCTTCTGAGCACTCTTGCTTCTCAGCAGTGAGACCATAGCCTGTACCCAGATGGCTTGGTTTCCTCTCCCACTTCTAGGTACTCATTTATATTTCTAGAGGCTTGATCAAGAATGCAGTGAGCAGATCTTTTTGTAAGATCTTGCTAAAGAAGGCAGTTGGTGTAAGGAGGTCAGGGAGGAGGGAATGGGCTGCATCCGGGGCTTGTGCCTGGCACACAGTAGGCAGTTGATAGAGACTGGCTCACAGGGAAACACAACAGACTCTCCCCCAGACCTACGACTGCTGGGTGGTGGAGGTGGCTTTAGAGTTAGGGCTGCCGTTGTCACAGTGCACTGTGTCCTTAAACATCTAACCACAGAACACTGGGCCACCCCATCTGATGTGGCTCTGCGGGGCTGGGCCCACGTGGTGTCTGGTCCTGTAGAACCCTGCTCCTTGAGTGTCACTGTTCAGGCTGCTTGGGGACCTCTACTTCACATTAAACCAGATCTGAACAGCAGCCCTGATCTTGCTCTGGAAAAGCCCACCAGTCGCACCTAAGCTGCCCCGTCTGTTCCCTATTAAACCAGGCTCTTGCATTTCACCCAAGACTCTCGCCATCACCAGGGTGGTGGGAAGCACCGGGGTGCCGGAGGCCCAGGGCTGAAGACGCAGTACCTTCCCACAACTCTCAGGCAATGGCCCTTCCCAAGTGTGGCCCAAGGGCCCRCTTGGTCAGCACAGGGTTCCCATGCTGTCCCGGGCCCAGGAACCCAGGCACGCTCTGCGTCATCCTGGCCACTGAAGTGCACTTCTCATGTGTCCCACTGGCTGCGATCTTCACAGCAGCCTTGGAAATGGCTGCACGTSACAGCAAGGAAGGCACATTAAAGCCCCAGCTGGGAGACGTAAAGGGACAGTAAAGGTTGGAGCAGAGATAAACAAAACGGAGAACAGAGGAAAACAATAAAATACGAGTCGGTAGACGGAAAAGAAGGGCAAAGTTGACCAAATAACTAACACCAGAAACCTTACRGAAATAAAAAGGGCCACAGGAGGGGTGTGGACAGTGACCTGCAACCAAAGGGCTGGCCAGGTGGAGCAGCCGGATTCCAGAACCCCAGCCAGACGGCGGAAGAGGTCACCACCGACAGCTGCTGAGGAGAGTGAGAGAGAAGTGCTCACCCCATACTCCCCCAAAGGAAAAGCCCAGGGCCAGATGGCTTCTCTGGTGAGTTCTACCCAATACTTAAAGAACTAGCCGCGGTCTTCCTGAAATCAATCCAGATTCACTCCATGAAGCCAGCATGACCTTAGGACTAGAGCCGGCATAGACATGAAGAGGTCTGCAGACTAACTCCCCCATGAGGACTGATGCCACATCCTTACGAGGACAGAGCCCACAGAATTCACCATCCACTAGAAGTATCATGTTCATGGTTAAGTGGGATTTACCCCGGGAATAGGAGGGTGGGTCAACATACAAAAATCCATCACTTTGCCTGCTTAGTGGTCACACCTGTAATCTCAGCAACTCAGGAGGCTGAGGCAGGAGGATCACAATTTTGAGGTGAGCCTCAGCAACTTAGCAAGACCCTGTCTCAAAATTTTAAAAAGAAGTAGAGCTTTCCTGGGTTCAATCCCGAGTGCTCCCCCTACCACATACACTTTAACCACCGTAATATACTACATTACAGAACGGAGGAAAAAACCCTGATACAGAAGCATCTGACAGGATTCAGTGCTATTTCTTGGTAAAAACACTCCAACTAGGCGTGGAAGGAAATGACTTCAACAGAGCACTGTCATCTGTGGAAAGCCTCCAGCTTACCACTCTCACCCCGAAGATCAGGAGCAAAGCCCTCACGCCTGCTTTCACCACCTCCACCCAAGACGGTAGTAGAAGACTCAGCTGGAGCAATCGGGTGAGAAAAAGAAACAAAAGCCATCCAAATTGGAAAGAAGTGAACGTGACTCTGTTTGTAGACACCATCGTCTTGTCTATTAAAAAAACCTAAAAATTCCACCAAAAAAAAAAAAAAACCTATTAGAAAGAATAAGTGAATTCAGTAAAGTTTCAGGATACAAAATCAACACAAGTCAGCTGTATTCTTATAGTCTATAACAATGAACCATTGGACTAGCATCAAAAAGAATAAAATACTTAGAAATGAACTAAACCAATAAGCTTAATCAAGTGGGTAAAAGATTTGTACACTGAAAACTATCAAACATTAAATGAAATTAAGACACAAAAGGAAAGACATCCCATATTTGTGATCTGCAAGATAATATTGTTAGAATGTCGGTACCACCTCAAGCAGTCAACATACATAACACAATCCTTATCAAAACCACCAGAAATAAGAAATAAGAAATTCCATCCTAAAATTCATACGGAATCTCAAGCCTCCCCCAAAAGAAAAGACACTATTAAAAAATGACAGTATTGGAAGTTGCATTCTTCCTGATTTCAGAATTTACTATAAAGCTGCAGTAATCAAAATGGTGACATAATAGTATAAAGATAGACATTACACCAATGAGACAGAGTAGAGGACCCATAGATTTATTCCTGTGTGTACAGTAATGAGCTTCATCAAGGTGCCAAGACCATTCAATGGGGAAAGGACAGTTTAGCAATAAATGGTGTTGGGAAAACTGGATATCCTCACATGCAAATGAGTGAAATTAGACCCTTATTTCGTATTTAAAAATTAAAATAGATCAAAGAGCTCAAAATTTAGAGCTAAGTGTATAAAACTTAGAAAAACAATTTGGGAAAAGCTTCATGACTTGGATTTGGCAGTGACTTCTTGGATATTACACAGAAATCATAGGCAACAAAATTAATGTCTACCCACAGAACATTAAATTAAAAATGAATTGGACTGCATCAAAAATGTTTTCATGTATTAAAGGTCACAGTCATCAGAATGAAAAAGCAACCCATGGAATTAGAGCAAATGAGTGCAAGCCATATATCTGGTAAGGGGTTATTATCCAGAAAATAGAACTCCTAAGACACAACCACAAAAACCCAGCAACTCAATGAAGACATTGGGTAAAGGACTTGAAAAGACATTTTTCCAAAAAAGAGAGATGGCCAATGAGCACAGGAAAAGATGCTCAAGGTCACTAAGCCATAGGAAAATGCAAATCAAAACCAACAACGAAACAGTGCTCACACTATTAGGATGGCCACTATCGGAAAGCAGCCGCAGAGCAAGGGCTGGGAAGGCCGAGGAGAGACCGGAGCCCTCTGACGGTCATGCATGTAACAGGGTGGATCAGCTGGGGGACAGGGTGGCGGGCCCTTAAAAAACTGACCATGTGAATTCATGGTTCCACATCCAGAATAACTCAAAGCAAGGTTTCCAAGAGGTATTTACACACCCGTGTTTGTAGCAGTGCTGTTCACAATAGCCAAGAGTTAGAAGCAACCCGTGTGTCCCTCGGCAGATAAATGGATAAGTAGAATATGTTATAGCCATATGGTGGAATATTACAGAGGATTGAAAAGGAGGAATTCTGACCCAGGCTGAAGGAGTGAACCTTGAGGACCTTATGCTAAGTGAAGTAAGCAGTCACTAAAAGACAAATGGGACATGATTTCATTTATGTAGGGAACTTAGGTTAATTAAGTCTGCGCTCCCCAAGCTCCGGCCTCCCCTTCCCACTCTGCGTGCAGCTGGACAGCACTCCCCAGAGAGGCTTCTGGAGGCCTCAGGTTAGCGGAGCTCCTCACTGTCCCCGCTCTGGGACTCAAAGCACCCCGAGGACCAACTTGTCTCCACGTCTTGATGCACAGCCTTGCGGAGGCAGGAGGAGGCCAAATGTCCTGTGCGCCTGATCAGCCTCGTGGAGGCAGGAGGAGGCCATCTGTCCTATGTGCTGGGMACGTGCCAAACTTGCCCCTGGCTGCATGGGCTTTCCTTCTCCTGTAGTTGTGGCCTTCTCTTCCCCTTCCTCTTGTCTTAGCAGCAGAGGTGCGACCCCTCTCGGTCCCTGCTGTCTGCCTGACATCTCTGGCCATCGATAGCCCTCCCTCTGGTGCCCACAGTGGACCTCACTGGTTGCTCTTGGTGAGCCGGGAAGCCTGTTACCACATCCTCCACATGCTCATCCATCCCACTGCTTCCTGTCTGTTGCACATCAAAGGTGAAGACACCGTGTCCCTGAGGAGGGGCTGGGCCGTGCAGTGGGAGGAGTAAGAAGTGGGAGAGGGGCAAAGAGTGAAAAAGAAAACCCACTAGACTACATCATAACCTTTCATAATCCAGAGGGTCATGGAAAGACCCACACGTGTGAACTGTCTCCTACCCTGTGGTACTCTGTATCACCTCAGGGCCCTGTCAGCAGAAAGGCCATTGCCAGATGCAGGCCCTCAAAACTCCAGAACAATGAGCTAAATGAACATCTTTTCTTTATAAAGTTACTCAGCCTCAGGCATTTCATTACAGTAACACAAAACAGACTCAGACACTACTCAAACAACCTATATGGCCAGAGAGGAAAGCATGCAACAAAATTTTGAAATAAAACAAAAGTGATGAGTTAAATCCCCCATACTACAAAAAGAGAAAGAAAAGAAAACAGAATTGAGTGGTAATTGACTTAGCCTGGAACCACCAGAACCTAATCTTCTGTTCCTGCATAATGAGAAGGCCTTGAGATGTCAGCTGACGGGTGTTTCGGAATCACAGGCCAGAGGTGTGTGAGGGCAGGGCTGGGAACAGGGAGGGCTGAGAGGCTGTGCAGAACAGAGACCCCAGGCTCCCCTCAGGCCCAGCGGAGGACAGCAGGCCACTCCTAGAGAGCTTGGCAGGAACACCTGGGTACTGGGAACACAGACCCATCCGAGGGCGGCTGTGAGTGACACTCCCCAAAGTGGGGATTTTACTGTCTGAGTCCCCCAGTCTGTCGTCAGAGCTGGCCCAGAGCTCGCTCCCTGTCTACTGCAGTCTCACTTCCACAGTATCTCAGCTGTCATTGTGAACGGCTGKCCAAGGACTGCGACAGCTGAAGAGACCTCGAGGAGACTGACGGGAAAGAGGAAGTCAGAGGACAGCCAGGGGAGGAGGAGACGTGGGCCTGGGAAAGAGCAAGAGGCTCAAACTGGAGGACAGGAAAAGACGCTGGAGAGAAACGGGGGGCRAGTAGCAGAAGTGGAAGGAGAAGTAGGAAACCCTGGAGCGGAGGAGGAGAGAGCAGAGGTCACTCCAGGACATGCCCCTGGACACGGGGAGACCCAGGAGGAACCGGAGGGAAGAGGCAGGGCCTTCCTCAGGACCCAGATCAAGAGTGTGCAGACTGGATTCCAGCACCAGGAACCCAAAGGGAGTCCCACGAGCCTCATTTCAGAATCCAGGGTCAACGCGGAAGCCCAGGAAGGAGATGCAGTTCCGCAGGCTGCGCACGACCCCAGAGCATGGCCTCGGCAGGAACGGGGGCTAGAGATGACCCTCACTCCTGGGGGCTCTAGAATCCTTCGCCCGCCATATCTTTAACCCCAGGTGGGAAAGAGAAGTCTCAGCAAAGCGAGGGAGTGGGCCCAGGGTCCCCCCAACACAGAGAGCCACAGGCTGCGAGGGTCAGCAGTGTCCCCAGGCCAGGCCTGGCAGAGGGCTCTGCAGGCGCAGGCCCCACAGGAAGCAGCTGCGAGGAGAGCAGGAGCCAGCAGGTTCTGACGGTGCTTCCCACCACGGTGACAAGCCCAAAGCAGTCTTCATGAAGAAGAAACTTTGCCCAGGAGAGGAAATTTAACCACAGGGCGCTGCGGTCTGCAGTGTCGCCACCGTCCCAGGGCTGAAATGATGAGCACTGGACCAGAAAGGTGCAGAGTCTCTTGGGAGGACTGGGGACAGGGGGAGGGCACGTGTTGGCTGCCACGCCCCCCACGGTGGCTGCTGAGTGCTTCCTTCCACAGTTAATGAAGAGTCAGCGCAGACAGGTTAAGGGATCTACTCTACAGTGTGAGGCCTCAGCAGGTGATCCGTTCTAAAGTCAGCGCTCTATACTGTGCTCATCTGCTTCAGGGTAGAAGGGAGACATGGTTTTTTTGTTTGTTTGTTTGTTTTTTAAGAGAATTTTTTAATATTTATTTTTTAGTTTTTGGGGGACACAACATCTTTGTTGGTATGTGGTGCTGAGGATCGAACCCGGGCCGCACGCATGCCAGGCAAGCCTGCTACCGCTTGAGCCACATCCCCAGCCCAGGGAGACTTAATTTAAAGCATCAAGAAATAGTATTGGCTCGGGAAGCTGAGGCAGGAGGATCACACGTTCAAAGCCAGCCTTAGCAAAAGCGAGGTGCTGAGCATTTCAGTGAGACCCTGTTTCTAAATAAAATACAAAAATGGGGTGAGGATGTGGCTCAGTGGCTGAGTACCCCTTAAATCCCCAGTACCAAAAAAAAAAAGAAGGAAGAAAGAAAGAAGAAAGGAAGAAAGAAAGAGAAAGATCTGCAGTATAAGGAGTAGCAGTCAGCAGTGTGGAAATATCCAACAGGACTCAGAGTGTTGCCTCTGGGGAGTGGATGGACAGGGAGTTGCACTTTCTTGCAAAGCTATTTACAGGCCCCGATGCACCTTTTGGTTCTTTTTTGCTCTGCTGGGATTGAAGCCCGGCCTCCTGCACACCAGGCCAGTGCTGTGCCGCTGACCCCCGCCTCGAGCCCTCCCAGGAAGTGTTCTGAGCTCCTGCACCGGGAGCCCAATCGCCAAGGCCTCTGTCCAAGAAGCCTGCAGAGGGCTGAGAGGCAGGGCTTTGAAGAGGCCCAGCTCCTCCTCAACGTGTATCTCCAGGTTTGTCGGAGTCTCTCTGTCGTTAGGTAACAGTCTGGCCCAGACCCAGGTGAGCAGTCAGTGTTTACCTTCCCCGGGGGCAGGGTGGCTGCTGGCAGTCACAGTGAGTCTCACGGGCACCATCCTCCTAGGACCTGGGGAAGGAAGTGCACAGGTGCCGTGGCTGGGCCTGTGGTCCTACCTGCAGGACCAAGCGCAGACGTGGTACCAAAACCTCCCTCTCTCTGGGGCTGGATTCGGGGACTGTTTTACATATACATTTGCTTATAATTATTCCTAATGTTTCTATAACAAATATTTATTGTGCCAATTTCAAAGTCCTTTTAAAAAGATTGAAAATTAGTGGCTTAAGAAACTGGAAGTTCTACAAGGCTTTGGCCSAAACCAGGCTGTTCCCCACTGGACAGACAAGTGTGTCTTGAAAGGGCCGCTTTCTCCAAGAAAGCAGCGGTAACGGTGCCTGGTGTTTCCTGGGACCACAGTGCCCACCGCATGGTGGTCAAGAGCAGGGACACAGGAGCAGCTGTTCACCAGGGCAGGTGTCTGACAGGTCACTGCTGGGGCCCTGTCAAGTGTCCTCTGGCCTTGAAGCTGTTCCACTGGGGGGGATGGGCCAGTGAGGTGTGGGTGTGAGGAGGTTTGTGGTGTCGAGAGGTCAGGCCTGTGGTCCTGAGAGAGGTGGCCTCTGTCAGGTGATGCCTGGTAGGCTGCTGGCACTCAGTGGGCAGCTCAGGAAGGAGGTCCCCTGTGGCATGCTGACTCTGTGGCTCCCCCTGAGCTTGTTGGGCTGCCTGAGCCAGGAGACCTGGGTGGGCTGTGCAGAGCGGCTCTGGGGAGGGGTCAGTCTGCCAGGTGGCACAGAGGTGTCTGGCATGCCCCATCTTCCTGTTAGAGCAGACTGGTGGCTTGTGGCTTTGAGCTTAGCTCTGGGGGCCAACAGGTCCCAAAGTGAAAATCAGGGCTACCAAAAAGTTCTCTCAAATGCATGAAAGATTGTTGAAATCACAAACGTTTGCCTCTTCTCCAGACCAAGGGTTGGCAGACTACAGGTCTGGCCTGGCACTMCTTCAAAAGGCCCGCAAGCTAAGAATAGCTTGTACATTTTTAAATGGCTGAAAAAAAAGTCAAAATCTTTCATGACATGTGAAAATTGTAAGAATTTCCAATTCGTGTCCATTAAGAAAGTTTGATTGGAGCCGGTGCAGTGGTGCAGGCCTGTAATCCTGCTACGTRGGAGTCTGGGGCAGGAGAATCACAAGTTCAAGGCCAGCCTGGACAACTTAGGGAGACCCCCATCTCAAATATTTAAAAAGAAATTAAAAGAGCTAAGGATGCAGCTCAGTGGTAGACTGCGTGCCTAGTGTGCAGAGGCCCTGGGACCACTCCCCACTGAGGGAGAGAAGGAATGGAGGCCGGGGGGAGTAAGTTTGGGRGCTGTCCCGATCCTCCGTGTGTCTATGGTCAGCACCGTGGAGTGGCCCTGAGGGAATGCCAGCCAACAACGCCTGCTGGACATTCTCTCTGGCGCTTTCCACGCAGTCTGCACCCCACACGCGGGGGGGCAGTTCTTCCCACTTCATGCCTGCACCCTCTCTCCTGCAGCCCCTGCAGACAGATGGCCCTTGTCTTCGTGTACGGCACCCTGAAGCAAGGCCAGCCCAACCACAAAGTCTTGCTGGACTGCGCCAATGGCTCTGCAGCCTTCCAGGGCCGAGGACGCACGGCCAAGCCTTACCCCCTGGTGATTGCTGGTGAACACAGCATCCCCTGGTTGCTCCACCTCCCGGGCAGGGGCCACTGTGTGCTGGGCGAGATCTACAGGGTGGACGAGCGCATGCTGGGCTTCCTTGATGACTTTGAAGGCTGCCCTGACATGTACCAGCGCACCAAGGTGCAGGTGGAGGTGCTCACATGGGAGGGCAAGGGCTTCCCGGGGGACAGCGTGCAGTGCTTTTTGTACAGCACGGCCACCTACCCGCCCGAGTGGGTCCACCTCCCCTACCACGAGAGCTACGACTCGGAGGGACCCCATGGGCTGCGCTACAACCCACGAGAGAACAGGTGAGAAGGGCCGGTGGGGCCACGGTGAGGAGAGGGCACTCGCTGGGAGACCTCAGCTCRGTCTGTACCCGAATGCTACAGCAGGCTGGTGCCCTTTTCAACAGACATTTGCAAAACTCAATCGGGAAAAAGAAACCAATCTAGCTTTTAGTGGAATTGATTTTGCAAATAATTTTGACATCCCAACAGCAAGATCATACTCCTGAATCTTTCCACCCAGTACCACCTCATTGCTTGCTGCTTTAAGGGCCTCATGGGCTTCTGAATGTACTAGAGGAGGAAGCCTCTGGATCTGAATTCCCCTGAGTGCACTGGAGAACTCATATGCTCTCCTGCTTCCCTCCACTCTGCTCTCCTCTGACCATGATGTCCTCAGTGACTGGAAAGATGGCTGCCGTCAGGTTGGCAGCTGGCTGAATTGATTCTAGCCTGTAGCACCAATAAAGGAAATTTGAGTAAATACATATTTTGGGTGGTTCAATAATAAAAAATAAAGAAAAGCATGCTGTACTGGAAATATAGCCTCATTCTTCATAATTATGAGAACACACACAAACTGAAGATGGCACTTAAAATTCAACAAGATGTTTTGGGAATTAAAATATAAAGGTGTTGGTGTTTGTTTGACTCTTATTTTTAAATTTATTTGAATCTAGCAAAATAATGAACACCCACTTGCTGGCACATGCAGGTGAGCACCCAGGTTTCACATGGAGGTTCATCTGTACCCAGACCCCCGCAGCCAGCCCATCACACCTCCTGAAGGCACAGGACTTGGGGGTGGGCCTTTCGAGAAGAACCAACACATTAGCAATTTGTTCTTCAGGCCTGACAGAAGGCTTAGCTTCCAAATACAAACAGCACTTAAAATAATGTTAGCAAGGCACCAAGTACCAATTACTGCCCCCTCCATCTGACGGTCTGTCAGCGGGCTTCACGTCGGCAAGCGGCTCTGCTGCTCGACTCTCTTCTGCTCACCAGCAAAGTCTGCGGTGGATTCCAAGAACTCGGAACAAATGGAAATGCAGCTGCTGCTCCTCAGTGGCCTCGTTCTGGCTGGGGAGCTCACTCACTTTTCAACTTAATGGTAGACTGTGGTCGCTAACTACATCTGGCACAAAAACATGATCATTATTTTTAGCCTCTTTTTCTTAACTTGGAACTTGCTTCACAAAACACAAAAGGCAAGGCTGGGTGTCAGCTGAGGAGCTTGGGTGAGACGGCCCGAGGGCCCAGCCCGTGGCGTGGGGACGGAACCTGGACAGTGCGCCTGTCCTCGGGACAATGCAGGCCGTGGTCCAGTTCAGCCAGGGGGCCCCAAAGTCACCTCCTGAGGACTCGGCCATCCAGCGTGGCGCCTGCATAGAATCACAGCAGGAAGGGGTTTTGAGAAGTCCTCCTGGCCACCTCGTCCTTAGGAAGTCAGATAATCAGCCCCAGGAGTTAGTCTTCAATTACRGAAGAAGGAAGGTGATCAGATTAGAAGATGGCAAATGCTGATTTACCAGAACTGGAGGCAGAGAACTGGAATCCACATTTCTAAAAGGGATCACAATGAATGCTAGTGTTATGTCAACTGGCACAGCCTGTCGCTTATGTGTACATTGTCTTCATTCGAAAAAAAGGGCAAACTAACATTTAGACAAATGCTTGGTTTTATTGATTTAATTTTGACACCAGGAAATTTCACAGAAGTACAAATCATAGGAAATCTCACAGAAGTACAAATCATATGTATAACTGTTTTTATATCAATACAAATTTCCATTGGTGATTTTTTGGGCAGAATGTCGGTTTTGACTCTTCTGTGGAATAAATACGAGATGTAGATCCAGCTGCACAGGAGTGTTCCCGTGAAACACTTGACTAAATCGAGTGTGAGAGAATAATACAAATGGCTAATTAAGTCGGTTGATGCCTGAAAGGCTATAAATACTTCATTCCAGCTCCACGAGCAGATCCCCTTCTCCGACTGTGTCTCCAGCTTTACAGTGCACCAGCTTCACCTGGAATTCAAAAAATGGGGAGAAGAGAATCATAAGCTCCAGACGGAAGGCAGCAACCCCTACTCCTTCTCTGGAGGGAACTGACTTTCGGGCCAGGGAGCTCTGGCCTGGGGGCATCCTGAAGATCCTTAGGATGTCCCTCACTTCTCCCTCTGCACCTCTTCTGTCCTTGTCAGCCCAAAGAACGTCTGTATATGTACACACACACACACACACACACACACACAGTCCAAATAGATGCTGTTGCAAAGGAGAAGCTCCCCAGCCAATCTCAGCCCCCCGTGTGACGAGAGATGCGACCTTCAGAAGCCTGGAGGCCTGCCCTTGGTGGAATGATATGGAACGTGGGACTATGCCCTCATTCTACCCGTTTCTCCTCAGTGTCGTCAAATTTGTGTTCAGATTTAAAATGAGCAGGGAGGGGCCAGAGTGTGTGGAGATGGTCCTGTGCCTCCCTGGAGGCAGCCACTTGGGTGTGAAAGTGCACATGGGTTTGTAYTGACTGGCAGCACCGGCCGTAGGCAGACACCCAAAATGCCAGTGACATCTGGGGTGGTGCGCTGTCCGGTGTCCCCGCCATTCATGGTGAGGGTCCAGCCAGGCTGTTTTATCTCAAACTAGAACTGAGTTTTTAAGAAGGATGTGAACCCGTGCAGGAATATTCCAAAGCCCTCTCAGCAGATGCCATTTGGACTGCAGTGCCTAAATGACAATCCTGATGTCTCCTCTGATTAGGTGTGAGGTTTCACAGTCACTAGAGTAGAGACCCTGCCCACTGTGAATCCTTTCTCTAGGAGGAAATATGGCTCCCTCGGCCCAGGGGAGGGGGTGGCGCAGAGGGACTCCAGCTAGCAGGGGTGGGGCCACAGCACAGAATTGCTCACACCAGCAGCCCCTGAGAAGCAGCTCTGGGCTGCTGAGGGCAAAGGGTCCTGCCTCCCTTGAGACTGCTCCATGACGAAATCCAAAGACACGCAACGGGGCTCACACTGCTGCAGGAAGYGAGGCCACGCTCAGCCCAACCACTCCGGGGACCCTCAGCCTGCAGCTGACACCCTTCTTGATCCCCCACAAATCATCACAGATGAAAATGTTAAATAATCCCAAAGAATAATTTTTATGTGAACAGAAACCTACATTTTCTTGTCTACTTTTTTAAATGTCATCAAAATTTTGAAAGGATTCCTGAAACACCACAAATCATGTCCTCCTACTCTGCCAAACCTCCCTGACAAGGTGGGGCCACCTGTACCTGCTCCAGCCTGGCAGCCAGCTCAGGGCTGGCCAGTGTGCATGGGGACCTCTGCTCTACCTGCTGGGAGCTACAGGGAACCCCCTTGTCCTTCTCTGAGAATCAGTCCCTTTGACTTCTGGAGTGACAGACGGAGGCTGTGTGTCTCTCTGATGTAAACCTGGTCGTGAACTGATGGATCTCTCTTTAGACCCAAAGTCCCCACGGTGTGGCCACAGTGCAGGCCACAGCCAGCCTTTGCTGCTGTTGTCACGCCGATCATGCTCCACTGTGCAGATACTACCAAACCAGACACCCTTCAGAAAAGGGTCATTTTCCACTAATGGCATCCCCTGAGTCCTGGGAAGAAAGTGAAACAATTGCTTCACAGGCTTTTTGTTTTCCTCAAAGAAAAAATATATTCAAGAAGTTTCACTCTTAACAAATTTCAGTACTGTCATACCTTTCTCCTCCTTTTCTCCCTGAATCATTAAGGTCCACGTGTGTGCAAGGGCTGCGGATCCTCATGATCTACAACTGAATTATTCTCTTCATAGAAAAATTATCTTGAAGAGTTACATTAATTTTTGAAATCTGTAAAACCGTTTCCTACTGTGTCACCTAAGTCTCAGATAACTAACTGCCTCCAAGACAGATGTAAACATTAAAAATTAAAGACCCCTTAATTTGAAAGACATTAAGGTGAAGAACAATTGTTCTTTAACTATCTGAACATAATACAGACTTCCAGACTTTCTGGAACCCACTCTGTGAGACAGGGATGAGCAAAGAGCTCCTGGATCTTAACATCTTCCCCAGGGAAGAGAAGTCACCTCTGCAGTCCCTAGCAGGACAAACCATCCATGACTCAAAGGTGGAAGTTCTCCTTTGGTCATAAGGCTGGTGTGGACTGGTGGGAACATACCTTGCCAGTCTTCCCGGCCGCCATACTGTTCTGCATTTTCATGGCTTCAATCACACAAATTTCCTGCCCTTCTGATACCTAGAAAATGAAAGAAGAGTAAGCTGAAGTTTTAAAAGCACTCTAACTTTGCAGTAACATCCAAGAATGAAATCACTAAGGAATTCTTGGTCAAACGTACTGAAATGTATGAATGACCTCCAACATTCCCATTCCAAGTTCATCTTTAGGGGACGGTAGTGAAAGGCCATTCCTTCTATCAACAAGTCCTCATTAGAAAAAAAAAAAAAAAAATCCCTGATTCTGGAGTATTGCTTGTGGGGGCTTCCCTGGGGACCTTTAAATTTAGCTGCAAAATTGGAATATTTTCTACTTTCCTAAACTGTCCAGAATAGGCAAGTTTCCCAAAACTGAAAGACTGGTGTCGACACCAACGTAAGTGCTGTCAGGTGCAGGTTTTGAAACTGGATAATATTGTTCTAACATTGATTATGGTGACAGCGACAGCTGCCCCTTTACAGGGTCATACCGTGTGTGAGTTTAGCTCAGTGCAGCCATTACCAAAATGGGCACAGCTCTGCTGATGGTGCTGGGGAGTATCAGGCTGGCACCTTCCCCTGCAGACACCCCTCCTGACGAAGGACTTCCCCCACCTGGACAACGCCTGCAGCTGGGTTCACAGGCCCCTGCTCAGGCTTCCTGGGTTCCGACGTCTGCCTTATCATGAGGGAAATCCTGGCTGAGCCGGGTTTAAACCCAGTGGGGTGAAGCCAGGGCTTCGACCCAGGAATGGCAGACTAAAAGCCACTCTGTTTATTCACTTTTCCCTGGTCTTGACAGGCAAGCCCCCACGAGCTAGGCCAGATTTTTCTTAGCTTTATGGGAAGGGGCTCTGGGTCTTTGAAATGGCAGGACCAGGGCTCTGCGGGGTGCTGGTGGGCACTGGGGCTGTGCTTGGCCAGTGCTGCACAAGTGCCTGGAGAATGTTCTTTCCTGCAATCCCCAAGTGATCTCCAAGTCCCCTCCCGGCCCCCTGTGGGGCGCAAGCTGTCTCACTGGCAGGGCCGGGACTGAGCTCTGGGTATTCTTTCCTCTGCTGTTCAGGTGGTGGGCTGTTTTTTCCTGGCACAGAAATATAGGAAGAGAGGGGATGCCAAAGCTCCGGAGCTGGCACGGAGGAGACGCCATGCTGCTGAGCGCACAGTGCTCGCTGTCACTGCAGATTCACCTCACCTGGCATCTGCATTCCACACCCGGGGCAGAGC